TGAGGGGGTTCCCCCGGGATCTGGTCAGCCGGGAGCGTCCTCATCAGCGCCCACCCCACCCCACCCACCCGCAAATTACTGGGCGCCCACCTGAGATGCAGAGCTTTTAGCAGGGGTTAATTATCACCTACCACCTGCTCAGTGCGTGGGTGGTACCATCCTCACCCCTCCTCCCCCAGCCCAGCAGTAGAGGTACCCCCCAGGTATGGGATGCACTGCCCCACCACAGCACCCCATGCCGTGGAGAAGGGTGTCCCCAGGGGAGCATGGTTTGAAGGCAGGTCCCCCTACCCCAGGGGCTGCAAAGCATTTCAGGGGTTGTGTGCAGGGGGGCTCTGCACTTACCTTATGTTTGGGACATTTCAAAGAGAAGCTCTCTTCGGTTAATAAGCAACCTGCAAGGAGAGGAGACGGGGTCACGGGAGTCACCATACAGTGGGAGGGCTGTTGCCAAGCAGAAGGGACACAGCATCCTCCCCAGCCCATGGCCTCCTGCCAGCTCCTGGACCATGAAGGACCACAAACCATCATGGTCCAGATGGTGACGGGTGCAATTGCTTGAACGCTTCGGCTGAGGCTGGACAAACTCAAGACACCATTAGGCATGACCCTGTCAGGGGACACGGCCACACCAGCTGGCAGGGAGCCACCAGCCCACCCTGGCCTTAGCAGCGGCCTCAAGTGTTGCAGAGCAGCTGGCTCCATGACCAGGTGGGTCAGAGGGGACTGGGGGGGTCCCCCCAGCCCTGTCCCCGTGGCCGAGCTCACCTGTGTCGATGGCACACGCGTAGTGGTAGGTGTGGGGACACCCCTTCTGGCAGCAGCTCACGGTGGCTCCCGCTTGCTGGCAGCTCGAGCACTTCTTTAAACACACCCGGGGATTCACAGCAGGGAAGGAGAGATGCAGAGAGACAGAGAGACCCCGTCAGAGCCCAGGGCAAGACCAAAGCACCCCGACAGCATCCATCCCTGGTACCGGCACACGGTGGGAGGCACCGTACCCCTGGCTTGGCCACCTGCAACCACGCACTGGTTTCCCACCTGCTGTACCGCTCGCCTGGATGCCAGTGAGCCCACAGCCATCCCCCATGGGACACGGGGTGAAGGGACACGGCCTGGGCCATGCTGTGGCTTGGTGGCGGAGGACCATGATGTTCCCCATCTCCTGCCCCATCCCCAGCAGCTGCAGCAGGGATGGGAACCCCCCGCCTCAGCAAAGCTGCACTGCAAGCACAGACACCTGGGGATTAGTCTGAATGCAGACTAATCACAGCTGGTAGCAGGGGGCTTGCTGGGGGGCCCCTGCCCAGCCTCTGCTGGTGGCTGTCCTCTCCCTCCCCATAGCACAAAAGCCCCATGTCCCCATGGTGGTCTCCCAGCAGCATCCTCCCTATTTTGCTTGCTCAATGTGCCCGTGCTCCTCTCGCTCTGGGAGAGGTGCAGAGCAGGGCTGTCCCCTCCCTCCAGCTCCCCTTCCCCTGCTGTCCATCATGGTGGCATCAGACACATTGTACCCCTTTTTCTCTCCCATCCTGCCTTCGTCAGGCTGTGTCTGTCCCAGTGCAAGCCAACCCCGGCCACACACAAGTGACCCACCAGGCTCAGCATCCTTATGGTCCCAGGGCGGTCTCTGCAGCCCTCCCAAAACATAACAACACAAATAGACTTCTATCTTGGCTGCTAACAGAGCCACACTGGATAAAACTTGAGGGAAGCCAGCAAGGCTCATGGCTCAACACCTGCCCTGCTCTCCCAGGACGCCTTGTTGTGCCCAGATACTCCTGGGTAAGCCCTATTAATTTTCATCCTGGCTGGAGCCATGGGAGTGGCTTTGGCTGGAGGAGGCCGGTGGGACATGCCACCCTGGGATGCCATTACTTGCCAGGCAGGCAGTAAAGCTCTTACCAGGTCGGCAGCTGCCTTGACGGCCTCCTGCAGCCCGTAGAGCTTCCCTGCCACCAGGAAAACCCCAGCGGTCCATACGGCACAGGCCTCGTGCAGCCAGTGCTCCTGAGTGTCGCCTGCCGGCTCCTGCGGCGGGG